GTATTACATATATATATTTTTTTTTAATATTTCATTTGACTTTGTTAATTTTTGGTTGGTCTTTTAGATTAACTATTAATTAAATGTTGTGAATGTACAAAACAATTCTTGAATATTGTTCAATTAAAATACAATTGTTAAGAATTAAAACAACAGACATCCAAAAACTCTAAACTTAAATTGCCTTTTGCATTCAGCTAGTCTGTAAGCCCAACCCAATTCCAATTGGATATCATGTCGTCACATACGTAATTAGCGTTATATACATATACATATAYACATGTAATTATGTTAAGTATCTGTTGGGACGGCGAAACGGAAAACGAAAACGAAAACCTAAATGAAAACGAAAACGAAAACTGAGAAACGAAATCGTATTCGTCGTTTCGTTTTCGTGGCCGAAGCCGAACGCGAGAGCTCGAGCACGAACACGAACTCGAACTCGAACTCGAACTCGAGCCTGAGCTCTGCTCACACCCTTTTCGGGCAGCGATTAACTTGACTTTGTAGGTCACACGATTTGTGCGCTTGTATGTGTGTGCGTGCTAGATAGCGATGAGCGTGCGTGCAGCATGAAACACGAGACAGCGGAAACGATATTTTGTAAGAGTTAGTTAGGCTTGAAATATTTTATTCAAATTTTAATTATGAATTAGCATAGCTTAGCATATTTCAACAACAATTTAATTATTAAACTGAAGGTGCAGATTCTATAGATATCTCTTTATCTAATTATCATCGTGTTTCACCTGTTCATCTCTAGTAGTGTTAATCATATGTATGCGAATGTGTGAGTGTGTGTGACAGTGGAATGCATTGCAGCTTGGCAAGCAAACGTTTAATCGTTGTATAGGAACGCCAACGCTCGTAGGACAACACCTACAATTTATATATGTACATATGTATATACATACATACATATAGGAACTTATGGAATGTGYTTGATATCAATAAATTATTATCTAATGTCTGTGTGGCGGTCACGTTGAAGTTGACTCGTAAATCATATGCTTTACACTCCATATATATATATGCGCACAAATATATATACATATCACATATCGGAAATTACATAGTTCGTTCGTCCTGTATTTTACCTTGGCTAGCGCAGTCCTTTAAGCTCGGTTCTTTGGTTCTGTTCATCGCTCTGACCTTTTTCATATTAATTGGATTGATTAATGTGCTCCAATTTTGGAATGTACGTAACAGAGCTATGGTCACACGCCCATATATACTACGCCCCCTACGTACTACGTCCCCATTCCTCTCATATATTTCGACCCTTGTCGTGGCGCTTCTTGACATTCAATCGGCTAGTCATTAATCCTAGTGACTTTTGCTTAACTATTTATATGACTCCATCCCATGTCAATTAGGGTCCTTTAGCTTTATTGTCTATAGGCTAATGAGCCTGTACATATATCATCTATGTATATCAAAGGGTATTTAGCTAGTCTGTCATTTATAGAATTTATAAAAATAAGATCAGCTGAAAATCGCTACGAATCGTTCAACTGGAATGCGTCTGATTGGAAATAGGGGGTAATACTACGCTAGTTGGCAAAAAAAGCGTTGATAGAAACGTGAGCATTTTTTGTATGCTTTGAATCGCCCACAAAAGTATGCTACGCCAATTTTTTTATGTGGAATTAATGCAATTGATTTCCTAATTCAATTCGTAATGGGTAAATGGGGTGTATTGATGCGCCTAACAGATATGCAACAGGTAAAAGGAGCCGTGGCTAAGCCTCTCCCTATCTGTATACATATATGTAATCCTCATACATAGATGAGTCAATCTTATCTACATTTAGCCTGATTGGTTGATTTTATATAATATATAACATTTGATGGATTTTGTATTATTTTTCAATAGATTAGAAAGTATTTCTTTTCATTAAATATGTTTTCCCATTTTAAGTAAATGAAAGCAAGGCAATCATATCAAGCTATCGAATAACTAAAGACAAACTATGATAGTTTTTAATTTTTGGGGCAGGGTAGCAACAATTCCGTATTAGCTGCGCGTCAAGCTTCTGTTAGATAAAGTATGTCAAGGCTGAAATTCAAGTTTCTCAATAATTGATAAAGCTTAAGTTAAGATATCTAACTAATCTAGTTTAGCMGTCAGTCTGTACTCTCCTTCCTTCCTCTCCCAATCTCTGACAGTGGCTTTCTCTTTCCCCCTTTTACTTATTTATGTGTATTTCCTGTCAGCCAATTTTCGCTGTGATTAATTTGTTTGTTTCCGTTGAAGCAACAAGCTCTCGCTCCCTTCTCTCCCTCTGCTAATCAATTCAAATCAAGATTAACGATGCGCGGCACAAAAAGCCTTCGAGTTATCCAATTAATGGCGGAAGCTGTGCAAACACTTTTCAGACAACTTCATGTTTTTGATTGATTTTTGCTTTCATTCAATTTCAGCAAAAAACATAAATATTATGACGATGAAGAGAATTTAATTGAAAAAATCAAACTTGATGGTAGATAAATTAATGAAATATTACTAGGGAATTTAAAGCACATTGAATTTATATTTTGTTGAAAATATGGAAAAATTAAACTATAGAAAATCAAGTACTAAATCTTGGGATTGATCATCCAATAGAGAAGATGTTTGCACTGTTGCGGAGTAGCTTAATACTTCTTGATCTAGATCAGATATTATATTAGGCTTTATAACTTCCATTCATATTGTACATATGAGTATGAAAAATGTCTTTTTTAGCTATCTAATATAGTCTTAAGTTTAAGGAGCATAAAATATAGTCATCATGAAGTGTGCACAAAACCAATATGCTCTATTAAGATATAGTCTTTAATCTAACAAACCCAATATGCTCTCTCAACTGCACTCGCTGAACGAGTATATTTAATCATGATATTTTCGCTTAAAGGATATTTATATAGTATATATTTAGAAAGTTTTCCTAAAGCAATGACCTGTTATGTATGTATATTAGCGGTAAATGTTCGTGTGGCTCTGTGTGTGTGTGTGTGTGTATGTGTGTGGCTGACTCTGGCCTGTGAAGTCAGCAGGCCAAAGCATAAGTTCTTATAACTCTGAAAGTTTTTTGCTTTCGCTCTTCATTTTTTTGTTGCTTTTTTGTTTTAGTTTTTTGGCATGTATGTTTTGTTTTTGTTTTTGTTTTTGTTATTGCAATAAACATCATTTTCATAATGCTAAAAGACAGCTCCAATCAAGAAAAACAATGTGAAATCAATGAAAAAAAACACACACAAATACACACACATGTATGTATTTGTTTGCACTTAAAAAAAAGACGATAAAAGTTGATTCGTGCCAGCTTGGAGCAGTAACCGAAAAAAAACAAAGTCAACGGCAAAGAAAAAAAGCAAAAAAAAAAAAACGCATACAAAACAAAGTGAATGTGAATGTGAAATGCGAAAATACCAAAAACAACAATCAACAATCAACAACCAAACGCCGTTAGCGACAGGAGCGGCATCTCACCAATCCCGCTAACCCTGCCAACAAAAACAACAACGGCAGCAGCAGCAATAAAAACAAAAAAACAAAAAACAAAAAAATAACGGAACCATAAATTTATCATTACAGCAGTAGCTAGCAGTAGAAGCACCAGCAGCAGCAGCAACTACCTCAACACTGCAGCATGTGCCCAAAGTAACACACACACACACACACACACACACGCACACAGGCCCACTGAAGGTGGGCGCAGCGCCGACATAGCCGGTGACGCAACGGAACTGCGGGAACCATGCATGTGCCAAAGCATGCTGGAGAAAGGGAGATGGCAGGGGTATGGCTGCGTGCTGTTGCAGAGAGCGAGCGGAGCTGCGCGGAAGGGGGACGAACAGAGGAACGACAAGCGACGACGCGTCGTTTTGACTGACAGCGAGACTCCCGGACTGTGTGTGTGTATGCGTGTGTATGACTGTGTGTGTATGCGTGTGTATAAGACTGTGTGTGTGCTGCTTGCCTGCTGTTCCCAGTGCTGCTTTGGCATGCACTCGACGATGCCGACGCTTCGTTGCTTTTTGGGCGTTCGGTATGAGAGTGGGAGGCGCAGTGAGAGCGAGCGAGAGAGAGAGAGAGAGAGAGAGAAATAGAGTGAGATAGGGGAAGGGAGAAGTGAGAGAGCGGGGCGCCGTTTACATATGAAAATTGGGCATGGCTAAAGGAGCCCAACCCGGACCCAGGCACTGGGCCACGGGAACGAACAACTTAAACGAAGCAAAAACCGAAGCGTCAGCGCACACGGCTGGCTGGTCGGGTAGGTAGGTAGATGGCGCTGGGTGGCTGACTGGCTGGCTGGCTAGCTGGCTGGCTGGGTGGGTGGCTCTTGGGTTAGGTTTGGCTGACTGCCTGGCAGCGGGTGAATGCGCGCTGCCAACGTCAGCAGCGACGCGTCGCTGTGTTGTCGTTGCTACGTGTATACACGCGGTGCCGAGCAACAAATTGAGTCAGTATCGCACAAACAACACTAACGGAAACATCAACGTGCAAAGCGAGGACGGACAGACGTTCTCTGTCTCGACTGTCTCACTGTGCGTGTATGTGCGACTGTGTGTGCATGTGCGTGTGCGTGTGCGTGTGCGTGTGCGTGTGCGTGTGCGTGTGTTGTTACTTTTGGCATTTGCATTTGGACAGACGCGTGCAACGTTGTTGTTGTAATCGCCAGCGTACAATACGCAGCAGCAGCATAAAGAGCATACAACAGCAGCGCAATCAAAAGAAAGAACTACAACAAGAACAGCAGCTAGCCAGAAGAATATTTTTTTTTCAACAACAATAACAACAGACAATATTGCAACTCTATAAATTTTTTTTTTGCGGCAAACTTCGCCGTTGCTTTCAACTTTTTTTTTGTACTTTTTTTTTGGGTTAGTTTTTGTTGTACTTTTTTCGGATTTCTTTTCGTCTGCTCATTTGCGCGTCGAATGCATTTGAGCAATGCAAAAATATATCAATTCTGTTGTTTTTTTTTTTGTCCCGTTGTTCAGCGAGCAAGTGGAAAAAGTATAAAAGTCAGTGACAAGCGAAATGTGCATACAGCAGCAGCAGCAGCAACAACAGCAGCAGCAGCAGCAACAGTAGCAGCAGCAGCAGCAGCAGCAGCGGCAGCAGCAATTGCAGCAGCTGTTGTAACAGCAACAGCTCTTCATTGATGTTGCTCTAGCTAGCTATACAGCCTAAAAGAATATCTAAAATATCTGGCTTACACATGCTCATGCTTCGATGGCAATATGCACGAGCAGCAGCAACAGCAACAGCAGCAACAGCAACAGCAACAGCAGCAACAGCAACAGCGACAGCAGCAGCAACATTTCTGACAGCAGCCGCATGCAAAATATTGCCGTTATTTACAAGCAAGCAGCAGCAACTATTGCTAACTAAAATAGCAACGACAACGACAACAACAGCAGCAGCAGCAGCAGCAACAACAACATCAACGAATATTGCAACCAGACGCCGCAGATTATCAAAGTGGGTACCGTTAACTGCACACAGACACACACACACACACACACACACATACAAGTATGTTTATGTATGCACTATATATGCATAATGTATGCTAGCTTAACCAACAAAACTGCAGCCAAGTGCAAACAGCAGCAACAACAACAACAACAACAACAACAACAGCAGCAGTTGTCCGTTAAGCGCGTTTTCTAAATGAGTTATGTACTCATGTACTCATGTACTCATGTACTCATGTACTCATGTACTCATCTATTCTTCACACACACACACATACATAGATCTGGCTGCATATATGCATTTACATACACATACATATATACATATTCGTATGTATGTATTCGTATGCATTGGGGCATTGGCATTTGCGCAGCATTGTGGCATGCAGAGCTCGAGTTAACCACAAACACAATATACACAATTCCAAAAAGCAACCAAAAAAACAGTCACAATGTTGCAATCGGGCATAGTCGACTGCATGATACCCATTCACGGTTTCTGAAGCGCAAGCTTGAGCCTGCTCTCTTAATTAACTTTCAAATTTGGTAGTTGAAGATCGAGTATTTTGCCACGCCCACAAGAGGCATATAAATATATACATATATTGATCTTTAGGGTAAATTGCTGGAGCAGATCAACAATAATAACAAGATAAAGCTTTTCTTCTCGATGGGAACATGAATCTACTATGTATATTCGATCTTGAGTTGTTATTACGAGTATATATTTGCATAATCCGATTTTAAATCAGACGAAGAAGAAAGGAAGATGGATAAACGAACGTTGGAATGGATAAACCAAAGCACAGAGAGACAGATAGAGACAGATAGAGATACGAGCAGATAACAAACCCAATATACCCCTTTTGATTTCATTATCGTGTATGAAAACCCTCCACAATTATATGTGTGCCCCTCTACCCGCCCCTCTCGATTCGCCCCCACGTCCCTCAGCTGAAGTGCTTGGCAATCTGGACAAAAAGCTTTTCGTGTCAGCCACAGATCCTGGGCCGAGTGTTGTGCTAGCTTAAGCTAGCTTATTGCCAATGCGATAACACAGGAGGGGGTCACCGAGAGAGAGGGCGGCTCATGGGGGAGTTGTAGCGAGCGAGAGAAATAATAACTGTATATACTCGATGCAATTGTCGCTATAAATGCCATTGTCGCATTTCAACATCTATTATTTTCTTACATTGTTCGAGAGTCGAGTATTCACTGTACTTTCAAATTTTTTGAATCAATATATCAACATGCATATACATATACATATACATATACATATACATATACATGTGTATATGTACATACATACATATGTATGCATATTGCTCTCAGGCTAGTTAAAAGTTCTTTTTTTAGTTACAGTTACTTGGGAAAGTTTTGTTCTGCTCTTTCTCCATTTTTTTTTTTTTGTTTTCTCCGGGCAACATGTCTAAATGGCTTTTTACTTTTTTTCTTTTATTTCATTTTTGTTTCATGTAAGTTCGTTTTATTTTGTTTTTTTGTAATTTTTTGTTTGAAATTTCTTTTCATATTGTTTAAGCAAAGCGTTTGGTTGGCTTTGCTAAAGCTTCCCTTCAAGTTGAAAGCCTTTTTTGAGACTGACAAAACGTTTTTCATTTTCATTTTCTTTTTCTTTTTTCTGTAGCTCTTCAGTAAATGCAGCTTGTAAATATTTAACAAGCAGTTAGTTTGGTTGTCAGCTTTTAGCTGCGGAGATTTGGTTGAGTTTCATGAAAAAAATGTTCAATTGAATTAGTTGTTCAAAAGAACACGGCAACTTAATCACTGAATCTTGAATGATTCGGTTCCGCTCAGAGCTTTGACTGATTGAATTAATCATGAACCAAATGTATTAAGTGCCTTAGTTGTTCATGAGCCAGTGGAACTATCAACTAATGCTGAACACTGGCTACGGAATAAATGAATAATTGATGTAAAAGTGTGTATAGCTCATGAGCTGCTCAATGCAACTAGTTCATGAACAATGCCCAAGTCTTTGCTGTTGTTCATTGAATGTTTCGAGGTCGAAGGAGAGAAGAAGTGAGAAAAGTTGTTTAGTTCAGTTGTTCATGAACTAGTGGTTCTTTTGTCCTATTCATAGGGAACCGAAGAAGTGGGAAATTAATAATTATAATTTTGCACAGCTGAACTAGTTCATGAGCGAGCCAACTAGTTCCCTTGTTCATCAAGTACTACTAAAATAACTAATCTGAACTGAGTCACAATTCCCCATCTGACAGTCATCTCAGTTGGGTCTCCGATCATTGTTATTGCTCTCGCTATCAGCATGAAAAATCATATTAAAATAGATTATTTTCACATGTGGAATTGAAGCACTTAAATGAAATATACAAATATATAAATATTTCAATTCGTACATCAAAACAGAAATTGAAATATTTTCAACATTTTGCTTGAGTTAATAGAATGATTCCGTAGTGTAAACAAAGATCTGATATTTGATTTTACGTTACGTTTTAATGATGCTCTGCTCATTTTTCTTTCACTCTTCACGGCAATATCAATCATAATATGATTTTTGTTTATATCGTTTATCAAAATATCTCGATTTATACAAATTGATTTTCGCCTGATGAGTTTATCGAAATATTTATGCGATTCCATTTGATTGTCGAATTGAAAAGCGAAATCATTCAGCGTCTGCATTACTCGGACTTTGACCCCAGCCAATGGGAGTCCAAGGAGACAAAGAACGGAGTCATACGCCCCAGCTTTAGGTGCGAGGCGTAGTACATAAATATGGCACATGGAATAGCCAGCTCTTAAGTGGAAGGTCTGTTAATTAACAGCTGTAATTGCAAGTGCAACGCCCACCAGCTGCATATTAGATTTCCATTAAAATTGCTCCCGCAAAAGCGAACAGTAACTGCATTAGCCAGCAATAGCTGACAGCAATGATTGAGTGCAGCAGCAGCAGCAGCTAACGCCAACAGTTGACAGTAACTATGCTATTTCTATCGTATTTCTAACAGCAATGGCTAATAGCACAATCAATAGGTGTACATAACAGCATCAGTTGGTGACAGCAATCGGTAATTGGAATCGCTAACGGCAACGGCTAACAGCAATAGCCACTAGCAATCGGTAGTAGCAATTACTAACAGCAGCATCAACAGATAATTACAGTAGAAATCCTCTACAGCAATTGCCGAGTGCAATCGCCATCAGCAATAGCTTACAGCGATATAGCTAACATAGCCATTTGACAATAGTTACCAGCAATACTTTACAGCAACAGCCAGCAGCAACTATTAACGCTAATAGTTAATAGCAATTGATATCGGCTGATGGGTAATAGCAATAGCTACTAATAATGGCCACATACAGGATTAGCTAACAGCAAATGCTAGTGATCTTAGTTAACATTAAAACTTGACAGCAATTTCGTACTGCAACAGCTAATAGCAACAGCTAACAGCAACAGCTAACAGCAACAGTTAACAGCAACAGTTAACTGCAACACTTAACAGCAACAGTTAACTGCAACAGTTAACAGCAACAGTTAACAGCAACAGTTAACTCCAACATCAAAATTTAACAGCAACAGATAACAGCAATCTATAGGGGCCTCTGTTAACATCAAAAACTAACACTTCTAATTAACATCAATTTCGTACTGCAACATTTAACAGCCAAAATTAACAGCCACAATTAACAACGACAGCTAACAGAAACAACTAACAGCAATAGTTAATAGCATCAGCAACAGTTAAAAGCAACAAATAGTAGATTTAGTTAACATTAACTAACATCTCTGAGTAACATAAATTTTGTACTGCAACAGCTAGCAGCAAAAGTTAACAGCCAAAGTTAACAGTTAACAGCAAAAGATAACAGCAGCACTTAACAGTAACAGCATCAGGAACAGCGAACAGCAGCAGTTAACAGCACCAGCTAACAGCCAAAGTTAACAGCAACAGCTAACAGAAGAGGCTCACAGTTAACAGCAACAGTTACAAGCAACAGTTAACAGCACCAGCTAACAGCCAAAGTTAACAGCAACAGCGTCATCTGCAATTTCAGACAGCAATTG